CTTGCTTACGATTCTGTTGGACTTGCTATTTTCTCTGTAACTTGTGTTGTTTGAGCAACTCTTCAGCACAACATAATTGTGTTTCAACAGCAGTTCGAGCGACAATTAGAGAAATCCCATCATCTGCAGTTAGGTAATAATCCTGTGGTTAATCGTGGTTCATCAACTTGAAACATCTAATTAACCAGATCATGCTTGCGGCAGGAATGGGCGTTCTCCATCACCTTCACCGCGACTTTCTCAGCAACCTGGAAACTTTTCATTCTCAGGCACTTTTCCTGGAAAGGAATCAGGTTCTCATAATCAACTCTCATCTATTTTCCTTGTTAATTTCTTATGTAAAATATTTTATCATTTGTTTTGGTTTCTTATAAGGACTGTTTTGGTGATCAGAAAAGCGAACAGTTTCACCGCATCGATTTCCCCTTTTACGCACTGGATCTCTTGCTAGTCGACAAACTACTCCAAAGAAATCTAGGCCAACAAGTCCAAATCCAACTCGACCAACCACTCCCAATCCTTCTATTGGAAGACAGGTATTTGATAGATCCTTTCTTTTGTTTCACTAGTTTCTTTCCTTTTAACCTAGAGCAAACTGTACTTCTTTGATCTCCTGTCCCAAACAAGAAGACAATAATATCAAGTGTAGTCAGAATTCTTAATTATTATTAGTTTGCTTTCATGTTTTCTGGTGTTTGTTATTGTTTAAATGCTTTTTGTCTCTACCAGTTCCCTGCAGAAGCTCGGAAATCAGCTTCAATGAGGTTCCATGCTGAAAGAGGGAGTCCCAAAGATCCCAGAGATACCGATCACAATTCTAGCAAAAGTAAACGCCTTCTCAAGGCATTGCTTAGCCGAAGAAAGTCAAAGAAAGACGACATGCTATATACTTACTTAGATGAATACTAATGCCACCCGACTGGCGGAAAGAATTCCTGCAAGGAAGATGTCACCCACCCGGCTCTATATATTTCCCTGCTACACCCGCCCATTTTGTAATGCTAGCTGTTCCCACTTCCCAGTATTCTTTCTCTCTTTTCAACCGTTTTAAGTTGCTTGAGCAGAAATATGTTGTGTCATAGATACCGTGATATCAGCAAGAGTTAAATCATATTATTACCTTTTCCCCTTTTTGTACCAGCAAGGATGCACCAAAGGGTATAAGCGGTCAATGGAACCACTGGGCCAATGGCTCAGTGGTCACCAGGGAGGGGTTTAAATCCCCCGTTGAGTTGTAAGTGAGTGTTCAAATCTCATCTGTAACGAAAAAAATCCAAGGGTTGTGTCGTAGCACTCTCTTGATCTAAGTTGGGTCGGTATATCCACTAGTCTTCTATCACAGTTTCCCTAATCTCTCCTTCCCCTTAGATTAGTATAGAATAGGTTATACAAATGTATCGTTGCTGATAAAAAAAAAAAAAAATGGTCAATGGCTTATTTATTAGAGAGAGAGTGAGAGAGAGAGGGAGGGGAAATAGGTGCAACGCTGTTGGTTTGATGAATATTGCGAGCAGCGTAGCGTAGACATGCTTATATTTGCGACTATGTAGGCAATACGAGATTTCATCTCTGCTAGGATAATAAGCAGTGGAAATGCAATTTCAAGTTAGCTAATTTTTGTCCTTGTTCAGCCAGTGCCCTTCAAAAGTACTACTAGTACTACTAAGTCCTCTACGGGGAATAGAAGCACAAGAAATGCACTTTCAAGCTAGTACGTTTTGTGCTTGCTCAGCGCTCCTAAACTACTAATTCCTCAGCCAGATAAAAATGCAACAAGAGCAATAAGGCCTATAAACAAACACTTGAAGCCGGAAGAAAAATTATAGGGGTCTCTTTAATATCTTCTTATAAACTTGCACAGAAATAACAGAAACTCTAATCCGATAGCCAAATGGGGTTTAACAAGAAACTCGCATCTGCTGCATTGTTTTAGTACACAAATTTAAACTACTTCACTTGATAATACAATTGATCCAAGTGGGCATAAATGTCAAACTTCCACTCCTTGATCGAATTCATCTATCGTTTTTGTGGCAAGAGTCAGCACATCAACAAATGCACTGAATGATGCCCGCAGAAATCTTGGCTCTACTGCCTCAAAATGCCTGTAGAAAATAAACTGAATCACGTTAAACCTACACACCTTGGTCATTTGGATAACAAGCTACAAGAAGCATTGGGGTGTGCACTCAATTGATTCCAGCATCAACATAGATTGGCAGACATGTTCACAAGCATTTCAGAAGATATCTGAACCAAAGTCTTGATCAAAAGAATGGGAAGGAGCTCACACAAAAAGCTTTCCATCCGAGACTGACATTTCGCGCTTTACCTTGTCTGGCTGCAACTGTATGACCATTAACAGAGTCAAATCAAGTCAAATGTTAAACCATTTAACTGATGGGAAGAGTTAGACATCACCATACCTCCTTATCTACATCCAATGCTGAGTAGACAATGCGAACTTTTCTTTCAGATTCATAATTTACTTCCAAGTCACTGCATTTACATTTTTCCACACAATCAAACAAGCAGCAAGTATCTGATGCATGCTCGTGCTGCTAATTACCATCCAGAGATCTAATCTCTGAATCCCATTCTGTTTTACTTGCCGTGATTCATTTTTATTATCACAATCAAGTAATTTTATCATAATGAATTCCAAAAATCCCCTGCCTAATTGCTAATACCAATATTAAACAACTTTCTTTGATACACAGCAACTTAGTCAAACATAAACAAGATACTCCAAACCTGCAAGTAAATTTAGAATAAGTAACAGAAGGGATTGAGTTCCCTTCATTTCTTTTGCGATAGTCATGTATTACAAAATATTAGTCCCTGGTCTAAATCAGCCAAAATACGACAGAGGGGAATCTTCTCTTCGGAACAAGGAAAAAAAAGGTTTTTGTGAAACTGGCGTCTCTCAAGAAACCAGAGTTGCAGGAATTGAGAAATAAGACATGCACAAGTAAACTGCGTAGGGTTGCAGTAAACACCTCCCAATCCACATCTCCGAATCAAAACAGAAACTATAATAAAAAAAATTTTACATTTGAATCAACGGAACCATAATAACGGACGAGTTAGAAATTAGTTCCGCTGGAGTGCAGCATAGCACCTTCCCCAACCCAAGTACGAGCTGCAATGTGATGCAGTGATGTGGTATTATATGCCTAAACAAGAGAGCGATAGAAACAGATGGAGAAAGAGAGAGACTGACCAACTGAAATCCCATTTGGTTAGGACAGTATCTACTGTTGTTTCGTCGGAAGGTATAACGTCCATCTTTGTTCCTAGGGCAACTTGGTCTCCCTACTTCCGCCTCCGCACAGAAGCCGGCCAATGTTTTGTTGATTAAGTTCAAAAAGAAAAAGGATAAATTACCTTTGACCCCTTTCTAGTTTGGTGTTTTATCACGTAAGCACGTAACCTTCTATAGTTTAAAAATCTATATATATATATATAACTCACTCGTAATTTAGATACTATCAATTGTAAAAAGTCAAAATTAAACTAATAAATTGACAAATTTTTACTTTGAATCCATCACGTGATTACACATGCGCGATCATTTTTAGAGATTAAAAAAGGTTAGAGAAATGACTTTCACCACCCTCATAACTTCTGGTCAGATGCTAAAAATTATTGAGGATAGAGAGATGATTAAACTCTCAGGAATCTCATTCTAAGCAAAAATTGCCGGTTACATATGAGTAATCGGTTACTTAATGGAAAAAACACATGTTTCCTCTTTTCTCGGTAATATATGGAAAATTCTATCATCCCTTTGTATCGTATCCATGACTGTAATCTAATAAATTCTTGCCATATTATTGAATAATTTAAACTCTTAAAATCATTTAAGTGTTGATATCTCTCTATTAATACATTCAATAGTGAATTGAAACGTAACGATATCACATCCAAAAGGGTATCTCAGAACATTCCTAAAAGTTGATTTTGAGAAACTTTGGATGATTCTTACCTTACCTTGCATGCATCTTTTGTTATTTGTTTTCGTAGATTAGCGTAGTTAATTTAAGCAAGTTTGCTTTTTTATTTTCCCCCGGTACAAAGACGATTTATAAGCAAAACTGGTAAAGTGGTTTCATTACTTTTTCGTTTTTCGTTTTGGCTTGCTTTTACAAGTTATCTGTCTTCCTATTTATATAAATCGAAAAAACTAAGGTTGTGTTTGGATTGCATTTTCCGTCATTTTTCATGAAAAAATTACTGTAACGATTTGATATATGTGAGAAAAATATGATCACGAAAATGACAATAATATTTTCCGACGAAAACAAGTAATCCAAGCATGGCCTCAAGTCTTCTGGCTTTGGGGAAAAAATAGCCGGCAACGCCCACCACAATAGTCAGTGATTATTGGAGAGAAAAGGAAAAATTTTAAAACAAAGTTCCTACCCCATAAATCTTGAAGGTAAAAGAAAAAATTAACCCAGATTAATTCGGATAACTAGGACTCGGCTAGGCAAAGTCAATTTGTCCGAAGGTTATAGATGTAGTGCAGTGCATTTATAGTACTAGTACTTAACAAATGAGACTGCAATTGTGCCGCCCATCCTCAAACTGGAAATGACTGGCGCAGGAAGTCAAAAGTGATTGATCTGATCTAATGGGGGCAATGGACAGCTTTGCTAGACGACTGTTTTGATTTTAGGAAAAACTGCTTGACAACAACAATGACGTGATTGAGAATATACACTGCTTTGGATAATGATGATGTTGCTTAGTGCATTTGGCTTTATTGATTGGATTGGATTCCCAGTCCACCAAGAAACTTTGGGCGGCGCGCCGGAGTAACAAACCAAAAAAAGAAGGGGTGGTCTACGCGCATTAGTTTAGGTGTTGTAATGGGCTGCCTTGTTTGGATGCATTTTAGTGGTTAGCAATAGAGAATATCTCGCGGTATATTTCTTGAAATGGCCCCGTGTGGACTTAAAGTGCTGCGGATCACACCATTATTCATTACGTCTCTCCCTATGGCTATGAAGAAGCCCTTTCTTTTTTTCCTTTTTTTTTCCCCATTCCTGATGTTTGTTTACTCATCCAAGTCTCTAGCTTGAGGATCATTTGTGGCTTCTTCTTCGAGCATATTATGAGTTGGCGGATCTCGGTCAGTGACTGGGTGCTCAGGTGATCATACTTGAAAAGGTACGTCATGTCATGTTCGTGCAAATTTTGTTTGGTCTTAAAGTGAATCAGGAGTCTTGGTATTTATCCCTTCTCTTCATGCCGGAGTCTAGGTCAACGAGCTCTTGAGTTGAGAGTCTTTTGAGAGCGAAGTGATGCTCGAGAATTCCATTCATGCTTGCTGCTCTGCTTAGGCTTAAATGTTCTAAGCATGTTCTTTCCAACCAATCAATACTCAATTTGATTGCCTGCGGTTTTGGAGACTGCGGAAGATGATCAGATGACGCTCGAGGCGCCAGACTAATCCGCACTGATGACCCGAGTCAAATTCATACCAGGTATCCTCTTCTTTTTTCCTGAAGAAAATATTAGTACTAGTTCGGGATTATGACGTTCTCCTAATGTTAAGATAGACACTGCGTCTAATTTGCTGCATCGTTCTGAACAACTTCTGTTGACCATTAAACTTGTGTGATGAATCGGATTTGTCCTCTAGATTAATTTCTTGAGAGAGATTCCATGAATAAGTTTAAAAAAAAAGAGTCTCCGAGCGTCTCTGTCTCCGTCCGTTAGATGTTCAAGTGCTCTTGATTGCATAGTTTGACCGACCATTGGGGAGGATTAGTGTTGAGAGAATCCAACGCTGTTTAATGGAATAATCTTTTCTTCAACTGATACGTGAACTCCCCTAACTGATACTGTGCGGAATTCTTTGAGTTTCATTGGTTTATAGACATGAGAAGATGAGGAATCACCAGTTTTGCATTAATATCAGGTGCACGGTAAAATGGAAATGCAGTTACAAGTCATTGATTGAGGTGTGACTAAAACAGGAGGGCAGAAAAAAATGCAAGGCATCCAGTTTATGATTGCCTTGCCATCTTTACAATTATCTCGCCTAAAAATTGGCTGTTTCATTTTTCTCTTCCCTGCTGCACTCCACGAACAATCATTGTTGGTACCCAGGCCGACTTTTTGTCTCCTTGTGATCTTCTTAGATTAACCAAGAAATAAGTTAGGCGAGTTTTGCTTGTTTTAGTGAAAAGCCGCGTTACCAGAAGCTCATAAATAATCAAATGCCCTGCAGATACATATATATATATATAATATATATATATATATATATTTTAAAGAGATCCGATTAGGCTTGTACATCTCCACCTACATATCAGCACCACAAAAGGTAATAGGAGAATTACCAGTAAACAAGCTTCTCACCTCTCTTAGCTATGTCAGGGCAGGTCCTACTTTGGCCGGTCTTAGACTTCTTGTAGATCTTCTCAGGTACTCTAACCAACACGAGGAGGCCAAAAAGGTACAAGAAGAAGGCATGAAGCTTTCCTACAAGGTCAACCATGAAACTCAAACTAGTTCCTCCCTCAGAGTTGATTCTCCCAAATTTTATCCACCCTGAAAAAGCGTCAGCACACAAGCACGAAACAATTTAATGGAATAGGCCACTTGACAACATTTAAACACCATCATTACAGCTATTGGCCCTTTATGAGACACCTAAACTTAGGCTCAGCAAACCCCGTTTCAAGTTTCAACAGATTTACGTTTATTATATCCAAGCCAGCCTGTTTCAAAATTGCAAAAATGTTATGCTGTCAATATTGCTATTTTGTACAACTCCATAGCGCAAGATGGCTACAATGCCAATATTTATATCCATATTTAATCTTTGTCTGAATGGATCCTTTCTTAGTTTAGAGCAAGTCACTTAGTGTTGCATTATTCTTCTGATAACATGAAATACTCACCAGAGCTTTTCAGGGGCAAGTTTGTCCAATCATGCGTGCTTAATTTTTCTTCTGATGCCTTGAGCAATTCAAGAAGAGCTTTATTGACCTGGAGTTAATGATGAAGTTACTGATTCGAGCAAGAAATAGAAACTGATCATGTCACACACATCCAGTTCAGGAAAAAATAGAATTTTAGGAGGCCAACAGTCTAAAACGAAATACTGAGTAAACTTCCCAATAAGTAACAGAAAAAAAAAAAAAAAGTGACTTGCACCAGTAATTCAATTCCGTGGAAGCATGGTTTTCTACTCACAATCTCAAAAGTGAAACAAGAAACTAAGCCTGTAACCAGCACTTCATACAATCAAAGTTCTGCATGAGAATGGAATTTTGAAACAATTTCTAGCTGCTTCACAGTGCCTCATCATTATTTTGACACACACACAGAGAACATTGTAACTCAGCCTTGTGACATTTTAATTCCAAATTATAAGACAATCATACAAGTTTTGTAGCTGATAGCACAATTATTAAACCCAGCAAGGAGCTCAACCCGGAGAGGTGATCGGGTCACCGGTTCAATCATGGGTGGAGCGGTTCAACTGCATTACACAATAGTTATATTATATAATATAATAATATATTTTAAATTATAAAAATAGTAAAATTTTTAAGTTAGTGGTTCAATTAGCAGTTTAATCGGTGATTTTTTTCAATTCACAGGTTGAATCGCCGGCTCGTTGACTAGTGATTTAACCGGGGGTTTGTTGCTTAACTGGTTTAATTAGCAACCCAGCCCAGTTCTATGGCCAGTTCGATCGCCGGGCCGGCCCAACCTATGGCTGATAGGTAGCTTAATGCCTTTAAGGACCAGGCAAGCTACTTTTTCCCCCGGTTTGGTCAGTCAATTAAATGTCTTTCCCAATTTGGCTTCTTATAGTTCACAAAATTCATAACAATCTGCAGGTACTATGGATTTCAGAACAAGCCATCAGCCGCTAATAACATCAGCAAGATCCAGGTAATGCAAGCACCACCAGTCAAGCTAAGCCAGAGTTTTTCCATGCTTATAATCTCATTTCAGTGCCTCAGTGTTTTTCATTTTATATTTCTCGTCTTCTTCTCTCTTTCTCTCTCAATTTTAATTTTGGTCAGATTTGGCAGGGAAATATGGCACCTGGTTTCAAAACAAATTTTCAGCCTACTTTTTCCATTCTCAGCTACAAAAAAAAATTTCTACCTCTTCAGTCCTCTCATGACTGACAAGATGTCCCCCATGAAGTTCTACCATTCGGGCAGAAGGATACAATTTCTCAGCAATCCTCTTTGCATGGCATAATTGAGCAATGACATCATGTCTGAACCATCAAAAGACTACTCAGTTTTGCTAAGTAGAGATCTTTCAGGTAAAATTGCAACTAACAGTAAAGTTCTTGTGCCGTGAACAGTAATAATACCTTCCATGGATAACTGATACTAGGAATCCAGCTGCACGGATTGCTTCAAACTCTGCAGCATCAGCTTATGCGTCCAGCATGCATTTATTTGACCTTCAAATCCATAATTGGTCTGCATGCCAGAGAACATATTCCTGCAAAATGGCCTCAAATAAGTCTGCCATTCTAACAGCTTTACTCATATACTGTAATTTCACCTTTGTTAAGTAATGGCCACATATTATGGCATCAGTAACTCGAGAAAAGTGGATCATGCATAAAATTGCCACAAAGAGCGTAACATGTTAATGAGAAAATGACAGAAAACCAAAAATATTGTGATACATATACAATTACAAAACATTTGGATACGGCCAACTGCTTCATAGCCAATGATAGTTATTAATCCCAGGTTTGAGTGAGCAAAAAATGCAGGAGGATAACATCTTAGTAGTTTGCTGGTCAACTATATTATTCTGCACAAAAGTTGAAAAGGAATAGGTAGTAATTCCAACCTATTCCTTACCACCTTGAGGGAATCCACCAGCAAGAATGATTAGACCTTAAGACAATTTGAAATAAAGGACAAGTAAAATGGCAGACTGAGACTCTGGCAACTCTCTGTTGGTTGAAACAGATGCCCTATTTGGATTATCAAATATTGCTTGTGTAAAGGTTTGAAAATGATTTAAACCACAGGTAACAATCATGCACCATGAACAACACACTGGTTGATAATCACGCAATCGTTTACAGCAAGTCAACAAAAGCCATTGGTTGGTCGCAAAGCCTGCCAACTTGCTGAAGTTGTATCTTAAATGCACTGCAATACATCTTAAGCGTCATGCAAAAAAGGCAAGCTGGCTCACTGTTCCTTACTTGATATAGAATTGCTCTTCTGGTTTGCGTGCCAACATACTCTTCAAGATATTCCTGCATAGAGGTTACATTTCCTTAAATGTCAATCATCTCAGTGACACTATTTGATACCCTGGATTTCTAACATCAACAAAACCAAACAAGCCTTAAAAAATGTGCAGGAACTTTTTCATTGTACCATTCAGCTAAGTTGATAACCTAACAGGAGGCAAAGTCAAAAGTTGCAAAAGAAAAATTCATAGAATCATATACAAAGTTTCCTGCCCAATTTTTATCTTAATTTCAACAACGAAAACTAGACCAGCCAAAAACCAGTCCACATTTGGCAGAAGTTTTCCGACTCACTGCTCAACTAGTCTAGCTAAACTTCTTTCAAAACCAAGAAAAAATGAATACAAGAAAAATGTGCTAAAACAAAAACCATAAAACAGCAAAAGAAGGGTAACCTTTGAGTAGTGAGTGTCCAAATCAACAGCTGCCCTCTGCTGAGGAGTTTTTGCCCTCAAAAACCGGATTGCAATTGACAAGGTTTGACGATCTAGCTGCAAAATAGGGAAAGTTCTTATCAGTCAACATGGTTGTACTGCATATTAGAATCATAAATTGATGCTGGAAATCAAATACAGTGGCCACCAGAATCACTTGATCTCAAGCCAACTAAACAAACAAAAGTGTTCATCAATGGGAGACGGATATAATGATGGCCATAGCAACTATTTTGTAAACCTTTTGCACTTGACTGTTGGATAGAAAGAAGAGAAATGCAGAGCTTATAACCCGTCCCCCCCCCCCGGGTAAACTTGCTGAGAGAGAGAGAGAGAGAGAGATTATGTTCAAAACAGTTTCAGAGGGGAATTACTTTTGTTTCAAAGATTTAAATGAGGTGTCCAGAAACAATCTAAGATTGCATTTTTCATTGTACAGATTGGAACAAGATAAGAAACCGCCATAATGGTTACACATCATTGAACCAGATTGCAGGTTAAAGAATATTTGTCATTTGCTCAGAAAGGATACGTACCTTTGGAATGCATTCATAACCTCCACCCGTCACATTTAGTAAAGCCAGTGATAATACCCTGCCAGGGACCATAGCAGCCATTTTGCAAGCAATCATACCTCCTACATAAATCCCAGCTTCACTCAGTCATGCGAACTCATATGCCACTTAGAGCAGAACTGAATCCTAACACTAGTACCTAGTTCTATAGGAGTATTTCCCAGTGAAGTGAACCACATCATTAAAACAATGAACAATCGAAATCATGACAAGCTCAGTTGAAGTGCATGTCTGACATTACTTAAAATATACCTCCAGGTTATCAACAACTATGTTTTCAAGAAGAACTGTTGTGTTTGGTGGCCTGCATTTCCTCTTTCAATTTTGAAATTTGGTATCAAACTGAAAATCGACCCTTTTATTCCACACCAAATCTTATCCTTGCAATAACTATATTTCTGTTTTGTAAGCAATCCTTCCAATAAGTTGATTAGCCTATCTTAAAATCACAACTGACATTAAGGGGCTCAGGGAACCAAAAATGAAACAAATCAATAAAACGACTGAGTAATGTTGTCACTCATGGACTCACCCATTGAATGTCCAAATACATGGGCCTTTTCCCAACCCAAAAAATCCATTACAGCGACCGCATCTTTTGCCATAAGAGTCGTTCTGCACAATAACCATTCCACAATACTATCAGTTTCAGAATATATCCGCACCCTCTTCGACACAGCTGAAGTAAAAGAATTAAAACCTAAAACCCTGTATATTCGGAGTTCCAACGCGTCAAGGTCCACTTTTTTACTAACCTCGCAGCTCATTTAGGAGGAAAAATGAAAACCATCTGCAGAAAGCTTTCATTTTTCTATTTCACAAAAAGAGGGAAAGAGGAACAGGAGAAACTTAAATGGTTTGCCGCTTTGCCTAATCATTTTTCAGAACCCCAAAAAAAAAAAGAAAAAAAAAGACAGCAGAAAGGAAGAATTTCTAGCATGGAACGGATGATCATCACAAAAATACACCATTTACATCTTCGACGGCCATTAAAACCAAAATCCATCACAAGTCTATGTCTTTACCAGAATCTCAAGAGTCAAGAACTAACAATCAATTAATCAACCCACGATATCTATGGGGGTTGTGATGCTAAAAAAGATTGGAGTTTTGGAACAAGGAGTTTTGAGGACTCACGTGTAAGCTGACTTTTTGGTGGGCACGGAGCTGCGACCCATTCCACGATTATCAAAGGCACAAACCTCCACTCCAAGGCTCTCATTGTGACTAGCGATAGGGGTTTGATCGCATGCCGGCGATTCCTCATCATTGGGCGTCAAGGTACCGGCGAGCGTCCTGATTTGCCGTTCCCATGAAGTGTGAGTCCCCGCCAATCCTAATAATCAAAGCGAAAAATCATCATCGACCCACAATAATCATATATGTTAACACTTTAATATCTTCCATCTTTTGTTATTTTGAATTTTTACCGATGATCATGAGGACTTTAGTTGGACCTCGCCCGTAAGTTCTGTAGAAAATCTTAATTCCATTATCCCCAGGGGCAGCTTCTGAACCGTTCTGGAACGAGCTGACCTCACAGAATGGCATGTTGGGTCGAATTTAACAGAGAGAAAAGAGAGAGATAGCAGACGAGGAGGAGGAGGAGGAGCGGAGGTGGAGGAGGAAACGTTTATTTTCCAGGAAACAACACCACATAACGAGGAGGAATGCTATTTTTTTTTCTTTTATAAGTACCATCACTAACTAATACAGCTAAAAATAAAAAATAGAAAAGATTATGTGTTGTTTTCTCCGATGCTGCTGTTTGTTTTCGTTTTCGTTTTCGTTTTGTTTTCTTTTTTTGGTTGTATTTTATCTGGTTTTGGTTAGTAGACTAGTACTTGTTTTATGATGGTGGGACCTGAGACGCGTGGCAGATAAGGAGTGATTTAGTGCGAATACGATGGTGGTCGGCTGCGCGTGGAGTCCAGGTCAAAGTCAAAAAATGTTAGTACTATGACTTTTTTTTTCCTTTGTCAAAAAGTGTTAGTTAGCAGATGCAAAATCCAATTCAACGTTAATGGCAATGGGGCAGAGGCAGCCAGGAGCGATTCGAGCGAATCGAGGGAGAAAGGGCCTTCCACTCTTCCTTAGATTTTTGTTGTTAGTAGCAGGTGTTTGACTTTCTTTTCCTAGAGTTACTTCAATTCATCACCTCTATTCTGTACCCTTTTTCTATGGAGTATGCTCCGAGGTTCGGGTAAAAAGAAAGAGAAAAGTCAATTAATCTATACTAATACTCTTTGCCTTCATCTTTACACGAGAATTGGAAAAATGGCTAATTTCGTTCCTAAGCTTTTTTTCTGTGTCAATTTAGTCCATGTATATTTTTTTTAGCCAATTTGATCCTTATACTTATTTAACGGTTCCAATTGAGGAACTCCGCGGCGGCGCCACCGTATAAATTCAATCAAATCACTAATTGAACAATTAAGTAAGGGTATTTTGGTAGTTCACTGGGACAATAACAAAAGAAGTAAAATCCTTGAAGGATCCAATTCTAAACCTTGGATTCTTGACTAACAAAGTCTCCAAAGGCTGTCCGAACTCCTCTCCATTGCTTAAAAATTGCCCAGTTTTGCTTTGTTTCTTTTCAACTGCGTCAGTGAGAACACAATTTGCGACGTCCAATTCTAGGACTAGTCCGGCTTCCGAATCCACCGCCCGCGCCAACTCCTCCACCCTTACCAAATCCCCCATGCCCTCCACCAAAACCTCCTCCAGCCCCAAAACCACCACCTGCACCACCTCCTATACCTCCACCTTTCCCAAAGCCACCATCTGCTCCATCCCTTTTTCCGCCACCGGCCCCACCTCCAGCACCTCTGCCAACGCCTCCTCGGGCTCCTCCTCCTACACCTCCACCTGCTCCACCTCCGGCACCCCACTAATGCCTCCAACGACCCTTCCTACTTCCCCGCCTGCTCCACCCCCAACTCCACTATCAATCTCTACCAGCCCCACCACCTACTCCTTCACCAGCTCCACCCCCTGCACCTCCTCCAATGCCACATCCAGCACCACCACCACCACCACCTGCACTGCCTCCAACTCCACCACCACCACCTGCTCCTCCAACACTAGCTCCAGCCCAGCACCACCACCTATACCTCCTCTAGCGCCACCTCTAGCGGCACCACCACCACCTGCACCTCCTCCAACTCCAGCTCCTCCATCAGCACCTCCAACGCCGCCTCCAGCAGGACCACCACTACCTGCACCTCCTCCAATTCCAGCACCACCATCGGCACCTCCTTCAATACCCAGAAAATCCTCAAGAATGTGCTTGTATCCCCGCAACATAATTAAACAAAAATCAGCTACCCAAGATAATTTAAATTCTTCCAAAAAAATAAAAGAAAAAGGGGTGTATATCAGGTATAAGGCGCTCTGAAGAACAAAAAAAGTGATAAAAATCAGTCCCCAAAACACTCAACTCTGTTGGTCCTCAAACGTATCGAAACAGTTGGGAAAAGAAGGGAAAAACTCTGCTGGTTTGTAGTGGAAAGGGATTTCGAGTGGTGATAATCAGTACGAATAGCAGAGGAAACCGAAATCCAGTGGAGCTTCTTCAATAAAGACTCAATATTCTCAAAACTCGATTGGAATCTTGCCGACATAAATCTCAGCACCCAATTCTAAGTTTAGAATAGAATTGGGTCTTTTGCCGGATTATTGCAATTATAAAAAGCTAATTGGGTCCTTTTGCCGGATTTTACTTCTTTTGTTACTGTTCCAACAATGAACTACCTAAAATACCCTTGCTTAATTGTTCAATTAGTGATTTGATTGAATTTATACGGTGGCGCCGCCGCGAAGTTCCTCAATTGGAACCGTTAAATAAGTATAAGGATCAAATTGGCTAAAAAAATATACATGGACTAAATTGACACGAAAAAAAGTTTAGGGATGAAATTGGCAATTTTCCCTACGAGAATTGTTCTAAATCTATACGAAAGCGTGATGCACCCATTTAATCTGATGATGGTTCAATCCCCGTCAGGTTCCCTCCCATCTGATTTGATGGTAATTTAATCCTTGTCAAATTCCCTCGACTCAGTTGAATCACACCTTTAGAATAAGCACTCATCTGGTCTGATAGTGGTTCAGTCTCCATCAGGTCCCCTTTCATCTGGTCTGATGGCAATTTAGTTCTCGTTAGGTTCTCTCGACTTAGTTGGATCACTCCTCTAGAGTAGGTTCTCCCTCAGTAAGAATAAGAGTAAATCAGATCAGACTAAACTAAATGTGCCGTTAAGACAAAAAAGAAAAACTAAATACTCCTTGCATCCCAATTATTTTGTTATGTTTCAAAAATTCAACTGTTAAAAATAGTGATTTGATTATGATGCTTGTATTTTTCTTTTCAATGTTACCCCCAACAAATTCAAAATTTGAATGTCAATGGGAACACACATGCACGTGATGAAGAGAGGGGCTATATCAAAATGAGAGACTAAAAAATATTTAATTTTCTCAATATAATGAACGTTTTAGAATATCTCAAAATAAATTATATGACACTTCCAATGAAATAAAGTTAGACCATTTAAGCAAGCATTCAACACGAGTGAGTACCCACTAAATGAAGGATGGCCAAATGAACGAGGAGTCATTACCACACCGGTAATTCTCTCTAGTTGTTAATGACTACACTAGACGACTATGATTCGGGTAAAGGGATTTGTTTGAGCAGCGTGATTGCCGGGGCCGGCCACGGAGGAGAGTTCAAGCCCGAATTCACATACTTCACGCTACCATGTCGCCCAGATTATATTCAACTTCTTGATTGGATGTTTACATTAGTAGCAACAAGTTACCAATGAAAAAACATGTACCCCACTAACAGAAAACCACGGTGGGTAAATGGGATATGGAAACTGGCTCGTGTAAAACGTTGAGAAAAAATGGGTGGGAATCGAGATGCGAACGGGGACGATGATGACTGGGCCATTATTTATCACATATATTATATTATATATGATATGATGTCGAAGGATGAAATGCTGAAATTTTTTTTTTCCTGTGCGTGCGCGTTCGTTCATTTATGATTATTAACGGAATGACTGCGCGCCTCTAAAATACTGCCATTTGGCAGCGAATGTTGACAACTACAGAAATCCAGAGAGACAGACATGTGTACTGTTTACCCAAATCCATTTGGTTACACTTACAGAAATTAGGTTATACAATTGTCGTGATTTCCTGAGCCTCCTTAGATCCGTCCCTTCCCCTCCTCTTAGTGTAGAATAGATTAGGTTATACAACTGTTATCGTCTCTGGAAAAAAAAAAATACACTTACACAGACTTCTTTTTTTTTAATCCCCTTAAAATCTAAATCCAGTAAATTGTTGCTCACAATTGAGTACGTGACCCAAAAAAAAAAAAAAGAGAAAAAAATTTTTTGTTAGCAAAAAGGACAATTTAAGAGCTACAGAGAATGACATGCTAGCAGATAACAAATGAATTGGTCAAGAAGTCCCCGCGTGGCCGGCACCTATGCATGCATTTTTGAAGACCAACGACCTCGGTCGGTCTAAAATGCAAACTTTGACTTTTGAACATTGGCCCATTCAGTTTCAACACAAGGGAGCTGCAGAAGTACAAGCCAACCCAACAATCTTTTTAACTCGAATTACCCTAAAATATTAAATTAAGAGCTCATTCTACCAACTAGTTACCCGCTTCAATCTCTCCCTATAATTAAGATCAACCAAATTTCTACACGGAGCAGCTGCTACAGATGACACTTTTTTAAAAGGAAACAAACCTGACATACCATTTCCGGAAACCTACTCAATTTACTACCAATCAGATCATTAGATTTTATACGGACCTGCTGTGGATGACGCGGTGAAAAGTACTCGAACCAGCCATCGTGTGCCAGGCGAACCAGCAGGACGCAAAGGATGGATCCCATTGAGGAGAATCCTGTGGATCAGAGCCTATTAGCAGTAACAATATCGATGCAGAATTACTCGAGTTCAATTCTCATCCATGTTGAACTCCAAAACACCACTAGACAATTCTCATCCATGTGGGCTGTAGCAATGGCACTGCTAAGAGCAAAGTCAACCAATGCCGCTCGCTTACCACCAATGAGACTCAGTCGTGTGTCGTAGTGTTCCATGCTTCTAGATCGCAATTGCCACCCTAAATGTCCTGCTCCTATTTTTGTCCACTTCCTGTAACAGGTATAATGCAACACAAAAGCCAAGTAAATGAAGTGGCATGCTTAGAAAGCAATCAAGTATGATTAAATGAAAAACAAGAAACGCTTGAAACGTTCTGTTGTGTTGTTTCTTTGCTTCGTGCAAATACTCGTCGATGCCTAATTTGGATACTTTACAATCACCCATCATATCCGCACATTGGCTTAATTTGGAAAGCAGAAGGATGAGCAAATCCACTAAATCCCTCTGTTACAGGACATTTCAGAAAAGAGGAAGCCATAGAACTTTATGAACAAGAAAAGAATATACATGAATGTGTGTGCGTGTCTGTGTATTAAGCCGTCTGTTACTAACTGATGGCGAGTCAAACAGAGTCTGTAATGAATACATTCATGTGTCCTCCAAAAAATGGGGAATAGTTATCCAAACAAAAGTAGTTTGAAATAAAAAAAATTGTGCAACAATCAAAATGAGCACAAAGTTGATTTTCTAAAATTTGGTACCTTGATTCATTCTCTTCAGTGGAAATGCCATATATGAGCAGCTTCCCAACCTCCAGTGGAGGGAAGTAGGCAGGGAAAGTAGGAAATTTGACCAAAGATAAACACATGTTACCACTAAACCATTTCTTTCAATTTCTGTCTCAGTCTAGACAATCTTCTCTGCAGAGGCAACTTCTCAGATCTCATTTCCAATTTGTCCAAATAATATATTACTTTTTTCAATGTCTCCACAACCTCTTTACTATCATGGCCAAGAGCTAACTCTTGAATTTTCAAGACCCTTTGTAGCCGCTTGAGTATTTCTTTATCATCCCTCCCCAATCGGGTTTGAATGGAGACCACACAGTCAAGAGCCTCCCCTGCAATGCAGGTAAAAAAAAGGTCAAAGAAGGTGGTTAATCAATGCAAAGAGCAGAAATGGAGATTTTATTGTCAGTCTGTGGTGGGAAAAAACTAGGAGCCAATCAAGAACTATATGCTCCAAATCCTTCTAGGATATAAGCTGGTCAAGCACAAAAGAAGGTTGCTACTACAATCTCTACAGGAATGAAGTACCTACAAAAGTATATACAACATACTTCAGCCTAAAATGGGTAGGCAAAGCTCACCAACTGGTAGGGATTCTTCTCCAAATGCTTTTTCACGGATATGTAAAGCGTTCAAGGCAAATTTTTCAGCTTCTTCATCTTGATTCAGATTATAAAGTACAACTGCCAGATGCAACATCGGAAAGGTGATGGACTGATCATCTGGAGGTACTGTCTTCATCATAATCTGCAGACTTTTTCTAAGCAAGCGTTCAGCCTCAGCAAAATTTTTGAACTGTGAATAGGAGGCAGCAAGGTTCATTAGATGGATGACACAGCTCGGATGGTCTTTCCCTTGATATTTCTCAGTGATCAACAAGCACTCCTCCAGAAGGACCCTGCCTTCTTCTCCTCTGAAAATGCAATGACGCATTTCAATGATAGACAGTCAAAACCAATTTGAAAGTCATAAATTTAATAGAAAAGCTTTCTTCCACAGGGTTTAGCCTATTAAACTCAGTATATCACCCCAGATGTAAAGTAGAACAATCTGAAGTGAATAACAACTTGAGTACTTATAATTAAAAGATGACCCATCAAACATGATATTCATCAAAAGACATTGATAATCTAACACAAAGTTAGTTAGTTAACAAAGAAAGTTGCATATAATTAGCTAATTATTTACCTTCCGACTGCATGAAGTAATTCTGCCACGTCTATTCTCATCTTCTCCATCAGCTCATCATCTAATGCTATGGACTTTGAATGCTTCAGAACTTGAAAAGCGTCCTTATATAGATCGATGGCTTCATGTACATCACCTGTAATGAGTATGATTGAATCCAAAATGTTTAGGAAGTACAAAAAAATTTCACTGTCATCTTCTCCATCACTTCATAATCTGACAATTCAAATATGGATACCTAATAGATTCAAGGAATCCCCACATACATCTAAGCAATGTCATCTACCGCTACACTAACAAGAAATAACATACAGAAGAGCAGTGTGTTGACTATACTAGATGCAGCAAACTATTTCAATTTGTCACAATTTCATATGGTGAACCAGTACCAGTGATACCTAATTACTCCAGACATAATACACAAGTGGTAAATTCATCATCTACATATGTATTAGGTTCGTTTAGAGCATGATCCCTCCCTCCCTCCCTCTTTCATTTTTCAGTCAGTCTTCTCCTCCATCCATGACAAGGTAACACTTCTTAATAGATAAAAATTGGATGCAACTGTGATCTTAAATGGTAAGAGAGGAGGCGCACAATGGACATAAAATCGAGATATCTGAGTATTTTGTTGTATAGAGAAATCTGTAAAAGCTTACCTGTTGCACATTTTACATGTGCTAGGGAACACATAGCCATTCCTACTCTTCCATCTTTTTCTCCATATAACTTTATATACTGGTCTAAAATTCTGCACAATGACAGAAAAAGCCAAGAGAGCTTGAATAATCAAAACCAAAACCTCATGCAATTAAAACATATTAGCTGGAGATATGTAACCTCTTGAAAACATTTTCGGCTTCAGATGACCTTCCTTCCTTTAATAAAAGATTGCCCAGTGAAGTCAAAGGCAACAGCAATTCCTCACATACAACGCCCCTTCCAGATTCCAATATCTTAATCACCAGGTGATATGTCTCTATTGACTCCGTGGCTCTTCCAGTAGAACCCAGAACTTTTGCAATGCCTAACATTGGAGTGACAAGGAAAGTACTACTATTTCCTGCAAAAAGAAAATTTTCATAAAATATCAATGGTTACAGAGAAGTGGAGGCAAAGCTACCATGGCAGGTGACCAAACTAGAATGTAAAAGTCTATGTCCCTATGAAACAACAGATGCGCCTTCCACTTATTGTTCCTAATAACAGACAAGTAAAAAGCAAAACTTCAGTGGAACTGTCGAGAAAATTAAGGCGAGGCTGCAAATATAGTAGCATCTAAGGATAGGCATCAATTAGTCACTCCTGCTGTAACTATCTCACCATCACCTGTCAGAATGCAGCATACAAAAGAACAAACTTACCATATTTCTGTTCCATAATTCTAAGGGCCCTCCTGTACTGATAAAGGGCCATTTCAAACTTTTTCACCTTCTCATACATGTTTCCCATGTGTAAAAGTATCGAATCCAGAAGAGGCTCATCATCTTTTAATTCCTCAACAACTTGCTTTACCTGGTAGCAGGAAAACTTACATAATTAGTATAAGGAATATGCAAGATAATTTAGGATAAAGTACCAGATGCTCCCCAGAAGAAAATGTGACTACTTGAAGGACTAAAAACTAAGCATAATCATCAAAATATAATCATTCAGAAATTCGAAATGAAACATATCTACGCTCAATTAGAGATTAACCAAATCAGAGAATGAGATATCTATTTCCTAACAAATTTGTCTCACCACAGCTAACACAGATGCAACCATCCTTGTTTCACTTAGAGCCATGTATCCCAATGCAATTACATCGAGAATAGCAGCTTCTTCTATGCCTCTAGCACCAGTATCCATCTGTTGTTTCACAGCAACATAATTTGCTTGAAGTAGGTCAAAGGCATCATTTTCCTTTCCCAATCTTATCAAAGTTTTGACTTCGTCGAATAAACCATCCAGCTGTCTTTCAAGGTTGTATATACTGCCAAGCGAGAGGGAGAGGTATCACTCAACTTTTCCCCACTCACAATGAGGCATATAGCATAATATGACTGACATGGTGTGCAGGACCACTTTCCTAAAAGATTTTGACCTACTTCAACTGAAACAGCAGTTTAAGATGTCTCCACATTTCAATTTGGTCACAAGTCCAGGACATGCCCAGGAAGGTTATCAGACACTATTTGCATAGTTCAGTTCAAGACGCTGAAAAAACAGATGGAATTTCAGAAACTGATTTGTTTTAGCTTAATCACAGATCTGTTCTGAGCATTGCTCCGCTAGTGTGTCAATGAAGGAAAGCCGGCTATTACAGGATGCTATCCTTAAAGCTTTGATACAAGGAAGCTGCTTAATTGAGTCAGACACATTAGCAGAAAAATAAGCAAAAATCTATGAATTTTTTAATCACTTCAAGTAAAGCTTTTTAGCTGATATACATTGGCACTTCTACACAAGCACCAACAACGAATAAAACTCAAGCTTCTGTAGGAATTTAGTTCTTGATGCAATTGTGGTTTTAGTACCTCTCCAAAATTGGTTGGACTATGATCACCAGAGGTGATCAATCGATCTTCTTGATTTGTTCCATCCACTTTACTGTGGCCATTTGTGGCAAGTCGCCTACAATGACGACTGAATGGCGCTCCAGGAGTACTGACCATGTAGAGCTTAACATTACATTTTTACATGGAAGACAGTAAACTGCAGAAGTAATGAAGCCCTTCAGCAGCTGATATAAACGGGAGTCCAGCCAGGCGGCAGAATGCATCCTGAAAGATCAAAGGAAAGGAAAATAAACGCAAAATGGACAAATACTGGGGTACAATCCGAAGCGATTAAAAAAATTATAAAAACCAGAACGAAGGATTAATATGGGTTAATTAGCTGAAACAAAAAGAGAGCACCAAAAAAAAACACACATTGCACGCACAAAGGGAGTGATTTGGGGAGGAGGGTAAATCGACAATCCCACACCAATGAAACTAGAACATCAAACTTTTTAAAGGAAAAAAAATTTAAAAAAAAGGTTGCTTCACAGTGATGCCGCAAAGGGAGAGTTGAAATTTCTGGATTAGTTCAACAACAGGTATTAAATGGTGAGAGACAAGCTACGTTATTAGAGAATATGACATATAAATCATTCCCACCCTTTGAACCCACAAGCTTAAGAAGCTGTACTTGGTAGACGATAATTAAGCTGATAGAGATATAAAGAGTTAGACGTAGAAGAAGAAGAAGAAGGAAATAAACTTAACAGCTTACCAGAGTTCAGGATTCACATATCATCCTTATCCTTGTGTAGTTACCTTAAGTGCACAACTAAATGCGCTAAAAAAAATTAGAAGAAGGACGAGAGAAAAGTTTAATGCGTACTTGCACAGATTATTAGTGGGAGTTATAAGAGAAGAAGTTGAGGAAGAAGGGAGCAGAGAAGCTGCAGCAGCTGCTGCCATTCTTTATCTGCAATTCTGCGAGCCACCGCGCCGGCTGTCTCCTGTAGAGTAGAATAGAATAGAATATTATGGAACTGGATGGAAATAATCCCTATTCCCCTCCTGCCTTTTACTTTTAGTTTTAGCTGCCGACGATATTGGACAATGATGCTTGGGCTGGTAGGCAGGTTGAGCCCAATATCATTTGTTAGCCCACATAAACGCAAACAGTCCGAGTTCATAAAGCCCAAGTGGCAGTTTTGTATTTTCAGAGACATATAGTGGTATTTTGCAAACTATTGCCACGCGTACAAAAGGGTGGCGAATAGCAGCAGAAAGATGGTAAAGAAGAAGAAGAGGAAGAAGGAGAATAAATGGCAATGGCTGCCTTATCGTCTTTCTTCATCGCTGCGCCAGTATCCACCCCCTGTAAACTACCAGTAGTGCCAGCATATCAAATGCTACTCTAATTTGCCATTTTCATAGTTTTTCTCGAAATTCGTTCGTCTTGACTTTAAATTTCACTTTGCTGCAGAGAATTGATCTCCAAGCTCAAGTTAATCCATGCCGTTGGAACCTCGAAATTAGGTCCCAGGTACGATTCTTATGATTTTGGTATTCGACTTTGTACGCGAATCCGAAAAAACTTTTGTCGATTTACTTAATGAATTATTGGAAAACAGCGGATTTCCAGCTCGAAAAGTGATGGTCCTGGGCGTAGGCGGGTGTGGAGGCGAAGAAAATTGGTAATCGACAATTTCTGTTTCCATTTATTGAATTTTTTTTTCTGGAATTATAGTAGCATCCCCTAATAAGTAGTAGTAGTAGTAAGCATGTAAATGTGGCTGAACTTGAATAGGATTTTATATCTTAGTTTACCTCTCATTCCAGCTCTTATACTCAACCAAGGACAGCCTGAGCAGTGCAGATGCTTGATAGTTTTATTTGTTGAAATTGAGAGCTTGTAGATAAGTGTGAATTTGGAACCTTACCTCACAGTGATTCTTTTTGCCAATTGTTTTCCTTAATGTTATGATCTTTATTGCTGGATCTTGATAATTTGGAACTCAATATTGTTGAAACTTAATTTAGTTCATCTACAGGACCATAACTTTTGCTGACTTGCATGATACCTAGAAGGTAAAAACTACCATCCTCTTGAGAGTCCATGACAACAACTGGGCTGTTTAGATGCAGAATGAGATTATACTAGTTCAAAATGTAATTGATGGAAATGATGGCATGTCATTCCTGGAATCTTCAAAATAGAGTGAAAATTGAAGTAATGATCCAAAGCTAGCCTCTGTGCTGAGTGTAAAGGAGAGCAATGTTGTGTTTATGCGGTGCATGCTTTTAAATATTTCAACAATGAGAAGTTCACATTGCTGAGAGAGCGTGTAAATAGACTTTATAGTTAGAGAATATGTGAAATCAAAGCTACTTTTCTGAGAGGCTTCAATAAGGAGATGGAGAATGGTAGTGCTTTTTAATCACTGGTGGAATCTAAGATTTTGGTTTGAGCTTTGCTAAATTGCATGATGTAACTTAATGGATTTATTGTGGTTCAAAGTCTCGTTTTCCAACGGTGTATACGGGATACTGGCTTCGAAGATGCGTTGTTAGTAGTTTTTAACAAGCCTCCCCTGCTATATTCACTAGCACAATATGGGTTCAACTTCTTATTTGGTGCTTACATTCCTATCGAGGACGTGCTATTGCTGGAAGACTTGAGCACTCTTAAGCTGGATGTTGATCACTGAGTCTGTTATCACAGTCATTTCCCTGGAAAGAAAGTTTCTAGTATTTCAATATGTTGAAGCATTTTGGAGCTTCTTTAAATTTTGCAGTGATGTTGGTATTGTCAAATCTGGTTTTATTTATTTCTTATTTTCAGTTTCAAATTTTATTTCATAAGTAAAACTTAGTTTATGGGGCAACTCTGATGTGGCAAATGTGGGATTTTATTTTGGGATGATGTGGCAAACTTAGTTTATGTCTGATGATGTGGATGAAGACAAAATTGTGCGTTCTTGTAGAAAAATGCTTAAAGTTGAGACCCATTGACAAAGCAAATTCTCTAGCATGACCCGATCCAGAATAGAAGTTTTGTTGGCTCTACAGATATCGTTTACATGGAAAGCATGATTGAATGTATCTGAATAAAGTGATTTGTATATGAATTTTGATAGTTGCTCTGGCATTTCTCTGCTTTTAACTAAACTAGTGCTAAGGGCACACTCATGGGGCTGCAATTTAAGAATAAGCTAATTTTTATGAAATTTTCTTTATTGAATTGATAGTTATCTTGGTAGTTATGCCCATTGGCAGTTACCTTGGCAGTTAAGCCTATTGGTAGTCACAGCGAAAAGTGAAAATTATGTTGGTTATCGGATGGTCAGGGTAAAATTTAGTTTTTGTGAGGATAAAAATGGATGCTTAGAAAGTGACAAAAGATACTTACCCAATCCCTTCCTCTAACTTTATATGTGGTATAGATATAAATTGTGGAATGCCAAACCTCTATTTTACTTGGGGCCTTTAAGGAATTTTCACTTTCATAATGGGCCAGATATTTTGTGCTCTGCTATTCTTACTAATTCTCTAGCAACCATTATTCTGCTGTAAAAGTATTCCAGAAGCCTCAGTAGATTTATGATTTATTTGGCCATTCCCTCACCAAGTGCCCACCCTTTTGTCCCTTTGGTAATTGACAGACAAAGAAGGATGAGTTTTTGGAACCCAAATTGGAAAGAGTTCCTTTCCTTGAAGAACAGGTCAGGAAGATAAGAGACGGGGGAAGCTCCTGACCATGGACATCCATAGACTACTATTATCTGAGGATAACCGATTTGATTTTGTGAATGAGTGGCAGCTGAGGCGAAAATGTATGTTGAAAACAACCGAGATGAATACGGTGCAAAGAAGGCTATCCTTCATGTACTGAGCAATCGAATGAATGATGCTGGGACGTCTCGTCCAGAAGCATACTTGGAGTCCGATCCATTCAATCCTGGTCCTGGTTATTTGAGAGAAGAGCTTTAGATTGTCGTAGACGCTGTAAATTGTAAAAATAATCTGAGAGACAAACTTTGTCTGATTAGTTTCTTGTAATAATTGCAGTCAGTGTTTATCCGTCTTTTCCTACTGATTTCTATAATAGTTCGAGCGTTTGAGCTGACATTACAGTTGACAAATGATTTGGTTCCGCTGGTGCAAACATTGATGACGAGACGGTGCTCGGAGTTTTGAGTTCTGCTCGCAGTTTGGCCTTTGGCTTGGAATGGCAGACCGAAATCTGCCATGATTACTTTGGGGCTAGCGAGCAAGGTTGCGGATCTCCTATGCAATTGCATGCGGTGTATTTCTGTCAACATTTGAGACAAATTATCTGAAAAGATTGAAGAGCTGAAACTCTCACTCTAAACGATCAAGCATTAGAGTATTGAGATTTATTATCTTAAAATTTGACGGAGATGAAGCTACTGAAAAGCATTACCCAAAAAAAAAAAAAAAAAATTTCCCTCCTCAAAATAGAGGGTGAACCTTCTTTTGTATTAATAGCTTGGTGGTGAATTAGGGTAAACATAACATTTTAAAAAAGGCATTTTTTTCTTTAACAAATTTTTTTAAAAAAAAAGAATTGAAGAAAAATTTTAGAGGCACCACAAAACCAATTTCATATATACTGTTTAATCCTGATGAATTGTCATTTGTTTTCCTATTCTACTTTGTTTTCGGTTTTTGAATTGCAATCCCAAATGCGTGGAAAATTTTATTGCAAATAATAAACTTGTGTCTCTAAAGGGATGATTTCAAAAACCTTCCTTGACATTTTTTTATAATATTACTTAGCACCACTTAGGTTTTCAAAATCTCACGTACCTCTTTGGATTGACTTTTTTGTTATTAGAAATGCAAGAAACATAAGAATTTTATTCTAACACAACCCTTATGAAGTTTACCCTACTTGTGAAGTTTACAACGATAATAAAAAATTAAATGACGTTAAAAAGTAAAAAATGAAAATATGAATGGTTATAAATGTAATAACGAGTAATTCTGCAGATATACAACAACTATTTCTTAATATGACGAATGATATTCTAACAAAAAAAAAAAGGATATTCTTAGATGTATGTCTGGTCATTAAATCATTTTTTATTAATTTATTTAACTCTAACTTATTTATAATTTTTTTTTTCTATAAGTGGATTTGTATTTCAAACCACATATATGAAAAGATTGTTTTAATTTTTAATACAACTTAAATTACATCATGTATTAAAAAAAATTTTAAAAAAAAATTTCTTGACTTCATTGTAAGTACCCCATAAAATTTTTAAGGTATTAATTATTTATCAAAATCCTTCTAAATGATTGTTTTTGACTGGATTTAATTTAACTACTTTCTTTACTATCCGGCCACCACCTCGATGCAGAGAAATATGGGTCAACATTGGATAGCGATTTAACTTTTTGATCTAATATTTTTTGTTTCAACCTTTTGGTTGTATCTTATCTTATCTTATATTAAACTACACTAGGAGGCATAAACCGTGCTACGCACGGTGGGAAAAAGGATGGAGATGCCCAATTTAACAAAATAATTTGTACTAATTCAAAATGGATAATTAATGAAATTTGTTTTTCTTGATGGAATTAGTTACAACTAAACCAAAAAAAATATTAAACCAAAATTAGAGTAAACTTTCATTTAAGTATGTAATCATATAAAAAATAGTAAGTGTCATTCTCATTAAAGAATCAAAATATTATAAGACTCCATCTAAGTTGTCATCTGCCCTTGCTATTTCAAAGTTAGGTTGCATTATGATTTGATTTAATTACGAGTTCAATTAATTTCCTAATAATGTAGCTACTTAAAACTTATAAGCATCATTAGCGGTTATATTTTACTATCTTTCCATGCTCTCAGATCATTCCCAAAATTAGAAAAAAAAAAAGGAAAAGTTAAAGAGGAGAGTTGATAGAGCTATAAGCAGGAAAATGCAAAATAGTAAGGGCCAAAGTGAGTAAGAAAATAAATGAAACTGACTCTATATTATTGATAGAAACAAAATACTTCATCCCATTTGACCTTAAACAAA